TTGCGGCACCTGCTTCAGTCATTCATTTCGGTGGTTGATTCACACCCAGGACCTTGGACCCAGAGATCTGGGCTCATCCGCACTGTGCTCAACACCTCCTGGGGCAGGTGGAAGGCATTCGCTGAGCACCTACCGCTGTGCCAGGCCCAGGCCTCAGACCTGCTCTCCTGGGCAGCCCCCGCCATCAAGGAAAATGGCCTCCCAGCCTCCACTGCACAGAGAAGGAAACCAGAGCTCAGAGCAGTCCAGGCTCTGGCCCAAGGACACCCAGCCAGCTCTCCAATCTGCAATGGAGTTTAGCCTGCTCCTATGGAATTACCAGGTAAAGCAGTTTCCAGTAACCAGAGGCGACAATTTCCAAATTGAGGAAATGTAAAATAAACCAAGCGACAGGGCACCAAAAGGCTTGTGATGAAAGGGGAAAGTAAACCTAAGGAAACCCCTCTGGCCTGATTCTGAGAGACAAGTTGACACAGGCCTTGGGTCACTTGCCTTAAAAAGGCCCTTGCAAGGCTGCATGAGATGGCTCACGCCTGTAATCCCAGCCCTTTGGGAGGCCGAGGTGGGCAGATCACCTGAGGTCAGGAGTTCGAGACCAGCCTGACCAACATGGTGAAAACCTGGTCTCTACTAAAAATACAAAATTAGCTGGGCGTGGTGGCGCATGCCTGTAATCCCAGCTACTCGGGAGGCTGAGGCATTGCTCGAACCCGTGAGGCGGAGGTTGTGGTTGTGATGAGCCAAGATGGCGCCACTGCACTCCAGCCTGGGAAACAAGAGCAAAACTCTGTCTCAAAAACAAGCAAACAAAAACCTCCCACGAAGATGTGGAGAAGTTCACGCCCACCTCCACTGTGCTTCTGGACACCTTCTTATGCAGTACATTTCATATGCCTCCTCCTAAGAGAGAGACTCCAGCAGGTATCACCCCTCCTCACACCTGTCACCTTCTCCTGATGTCAGATTAAAAGGCTGTCTCCACTTTCTTCGCTGAAGCTCTCATAGGCCCGGCAACTAGTCCCACACAGGGAAAAACCAAATGCGTAACTTCCTACGGATGTCATTTCAGCATCATTGACAAACCTTCATTGAAACTGATGTATTTATCAGCACTCACTGGGGCTGGCCAGCCACTTTGCTATTGTGAAAGGAAAATACCTTGGGCCCCCAAAATCACAAAGCAAAATGGAAAACTCAAGCTGAAAACTGCTTAGGGCAAACCTGCCTCCCATTCTATTCCAAGTTATCTCTCTGCTCACTGAGATAGATGCGAATCCGATTGCCTCCTTTGGAAAGAATAATCAGAAACTCAAAAGAATGCAACTGTTGTCTCTTGCCTACCTGTGATTTGGAAGCCCCCTCCCTGCTTTGAGCCTCACCGCCTTTGCTTCAAGTTGTCCTACCTTTCCAGACAGAACCAAAGTACTTCTTAGGTATACTGATCGATGTCTCCTGTCTCCCTAAAATGTATAAAACCAAGCTGTGCCGGGACCACCGGGCGCATGTTGTCAGGACCCCCTGAGGCTGTGTCGCAACCTTAGCAAAATAAACTTTCTAAATTAACTGAGGCTGTCTCAGACTTTCTGGGTTTACATTTATATATTGCTTGGTTTATGCTTTGCAGCAATCATTGATAGGGGTTTTATTCAGGCTGTCGGCCTGGGTGTGCAATTGTGAGCAAGAGATCTAACCTATACCTCCATTGCCTTAATCTTCATGACACTCTGATGCAAAGCAAAGTTTGAGAACTACCACTTAGAGGGGACCTGGTGAGAATCCAGTAAGCTGCCATGGGGGGCAGGGAGGAGAATGCTGCTGATGCCCACCCCATGGCCTCAGGGCCACCAGGGCTCTCCTCCAGCAGGGAGCAGTAAGAGGCATGGCTGGGATTTGAACCCAAGACGTCTGGCTCCAGAGCCTGGGCTTCACTGTTACGCTCCGCAGCCCACACTTGAGGCAGCACAGGTAGTCAAGGAAGTGACCTCGACCAAATCATCAACACAATAAGCCTCAGCGTTCACACTGTAGTCAGCTCTTCCAAGCACAGTTACCTCCACCCTGCAGACGGCAGGTGCACTGATTTTATCTGTCCTCAGACTGACTCTTTGCTCATTATAATAGTAAAAAACACACCCTTGGGCGGAGACTTAAGATGCTAATGAGACCTGTGATGTATGAACAAGTGTGCACAGCTCCTGCACACGGGCACCCAGAGCACCCTCCTCCCCGGCCCCAGAACGTGCTTACTAGTAACGCCTCTTCCCACCCCTTATGAATCATCACATGAGACTCCCAGAAAGGGGGTTTGCCGGTAACAGCTGAGGCTGTTTTCGTCTGCTCTGAACCGTCTCCCAGGGTGTCCTGTCTACTCTGCACCTAACTTTCAGAACGTTCTTTCTCCTTTGCAATAAATCTCTCTATGTTGCATCCCTTTACTGTGAGTCTCTTGTTTAAATCCTTTTAAACTAAAAAGACAAGAACCGAGGTTTCACAACAGCCATCAACACAGTGAGCAGCATGGTTGGCGTGAGCACATCGGCACTAACATTAGAAAGGCTTTCTTTCAAATTCCATCTTCCCTGCTTGCTGGCTGTAGAAAACATGAGCAAGATACATGGGCCGGAACAGAGAGGTTAGGTAACCAGCCAAGGTCACACAGCATGTTAGCACTCAGAGGAGGATTAGAACTCGGTTTCCTCATGTCTAGCCAGAGATTTGAGCCTTGATTCTTCTGGAAACAAAGTTATTCCTTTCCTGCCTGCGGTCCCCAGGGCTTTGACAAATTGAGCCCTACTGTACGCATTTCTGGAGAAAACACTTCTTCACTCCTCATCTGGGAAGGGAGGGAAATGCAGTGTCTCCTTCATGAATCTCATGAGGATTAAATAACCAAATACTCTGGGGGCACTTAAGATAGGGGCTGGCCCTGAACAAACGTCGGTTTCCCTTTAGTTTCCTGTGGCCACCATGACAAAGTGCCACAAACTGGGTGCATTAAGACAATGAAGTTTCGGCCAGGTGTGGGGCTCACACCTGTAATCCAAGCACTCTGGAGGCCAAGGCAGGCGGATCACCTGAGGTCGGGAGTTCAAGACCAGCCTGACCAACATGGTGAAACCCTGTCTTGAAAAAAAAAATTAAACAAACATACAAAAGACAATGAGGTTTCTTCTTTCAGGGTTCTGGAGGGCATTAGTATGAAACCGAGGTGTTGACAGAGCCTCGCGCCCTCTGAAGGCTCTGGGGGCCCTTTCCTGGCCTCCTCCGGCTTCTGTGGGCGCAGGTGTTCCTCGGCTTACGGCCGCACCCCTCCAGCCTCTCCGCTGTCTTCACACAGCCTCCTTCCCTGTGTCTCTGTGTCTTCTCATGGCCTGCTTATAAGGACACCACCCATTAGAATTAGCATCCACCCAAATCCAGCAGGACCTAACCAACTGTGTGACCTTAACCATTTACATCCACAAAGCCCTTATTTCCAAGTGTGGCCGCATCCTGAGGTTCCAGATGGACATGACATTTTGAAGGACACTGTTGGGACTAAATTGTCTCCTCTTCCCAAATTCTTATATTGAAGCCCTAACCTCCAGTAGCCAATGTGACCGTATCTGGAGACAGGGCCTTTAAGAAGGTAATTAAGGTTAGATAAGGTCATCAGGGTGGGGCTCTAATCCCACAGAACTGGTGTCCTTATAAGAGAAGGGAGAGACCAGAGCTCTCTCTTTCACTCTCTCCCCTGCCCTCCACTCTTCTAAGCACAGAGAAATGACCATGTGAGGAGGCAATGGGAAGGCAGCTGTCTGCAAGTCTGGAAAAGAGGCCTCACCAGAAGTCAACCCTGCTGGCACTGTGGTCTTGGGCTTCAGCCTCCAGAACCATTAGAGAACACACCTCTGTTGTTTAATCCACCAGTCAGTGGTATGCAACACGGTAGCCCTGGCAGGTTAACACAGACACGATTGACCCCAGTGCAGCTCCCACCGGATGAGGGGCTGCAATTCCCACCGCTGCATGGGCTTCTCCCGGCCAGGGATGCCCGTGACTCACTTCCACTTGGGCATGGTCTCGTCCAACGCTTGGCTCAGCATCGCCTCCTGCAGCCTGCTGTCCTTGGTCTCACCTTCCCCGGGGAGTCCCTGGCCTCTCCTCTGCACTCAGAAGCAGGGAGGCTGCCACCGGAGACAAAGTGCCCTGGGGCATCCTGAGTGCCAGCTGCCATCTCAGGGCCCCATACGTGGTCAGTCGTCCCAGCGCCACCACGAAGAATGATGACTGTCCCCATTTCACAGATGGGGAACCTGAGAGCTAGAGACCAGGTGACGCTCCTGTGGCCATGCAGAGAGGAAGAGGGGAGCCAGGCCACAGACACAGCCCTCTCGTCTTGCCGGTGCTGCCAGCACCCACTTTTCCTTCAGAGCCAGGTGTCCACACTCCTCCCTTCCCACAGCCGAGGATGCTGCCTGCGGGCGGCGGGAGCTCTGGCTCAGCATGGCATCCTGTGACTCCTGGCCTAAGGAGGGCTCGGGCACCCTCTCCTGTGCTCTCGAAGCCAGCCCGCGGGTCAAGCACAGCCGGCTTCCCCTCCCCACCCTAGACCTGCACACGGATGCACAGAGAGAAGGCGGTGGTGCTAGCAGGTGACCTCAGACTTCCCCATTTCAGCCCAGCACCCCTCCTCTGTCACTCTACACTGACGACACCCAAAAATCCTGGGCCTGTTTCTCACCTGGGGAGAACTGATTTCCAAAGAGCTTTGCTGACAGGGACGTTTGGAGATAAGAGCCCTCAGCACCCCAGAAATGGACGGGGCCTCCGAGAGGCCTCAGTTTCTGCTGTGGACAGGGAGGACTCCGTGGAGGGGACACGGTCTGCCTGAATCTCTGGCCAACGAGTGCCAGGGTTGGACCGAACCACCTCTGGGATCCCCGGCCAGGAGGATGTGGGGTTCTCGCACACACACAGACCCTGGGGCTTCCCTGCCGGTCCCCGCAGAGGCCACAGACCTGGCAGAGTGCGACCACCGCCTCGGTGGCTCTCACGTTCTCTTCTTCCTCCAGGTCGCACCGCAGCAGCCTCTGCCTTTCCAGGACCTCATGGAAAGCCTGTGAGGAAAGCAAGACCTGAGTCTGGTAGAAACATGCAGGGTGTTTTTTTTTTGTTTTTTTTTTATTTTTATTTTTCCAGAAGGTTCTCCAACCATCCCCTGCATCTCAGATCAGAAAGAAGGATGTTGGCCCCTGTATTACACACAAGGAAACTGAGGCATGGGGCTGCCACATGGCTTTCACAGCTGATGCCAGGGCCAACAAATCCAATTGCCAGGAAATACCACAAACCACACTTCTGTTAAACCCAGGATGAGGAGGGCCCACTGGGCTACCTCTGTCACCCTTTTGTCCTGGCCACAGCCACCCAGACATCACTTTCTGACTTCTGCGGCTGAGGACCACCACCCAGGCCACGGGAGACCCACCAATGGGAGCCAGCAGGGGTGACGCAGACGGGCGACTGGAGGTCAGTGCAGTCAGCAACCAGCCAGCCCCACTCTGACTGCATGGTGGAAGCCCTTCCCTGAAGAACCCAGCAGAGCAGCAGGAGACTGGGGCCAGCCCTGGGCATCAGCAGAGAGACCCGGCTAGCACTAAGCAGACCATCAGAGGCCCCGGCATCAGCAGAGAGACCCGGCTAGCACTAAGCAGACCATCAGAGGCCCCGGCATCAGCAGAGAGACCCGGCTAGCCCTAAGCAGACCATCAGAGGCCCCGGCATCAGCAGAGAGACCCGGCTAGCTCTAAGCAGACCATCAGAGGCCCCGGCATCAGCAGAGAGAGACCCGGCTAGCTCTAAGCAGATCATCAGAGGCCCCGGCATCAGCAGAGAGACCCGGCTAGCCCTAAGCAGACCATCAGAGGCCCCGGCATCAGCAGAGAGACCCGGCTAGCCCTAAGCAGACCATCAGAGGCCCCGGCATCAGGAGAGAGACCCGGCTAGCCCTAAGCAGACCATCAGAGGCCCCGGCATCAGCAGAGAGAGACCCGGCTAGCCCTAAGCAGACCATCAGAGGCCCCGGCATCAGCAGAGAGAACCGGCTAGCCCTAAGCAGACCATCAGAGGCCCCGGCATCAGCAGAGAGACCCGGCTAGCCCTAAGCAGACCATCAGAGGCCCCGGCATCAGCAGAGAGACCCGGCTAGCTCTAAGCAGACCATCAGAGGCCCCGGCATCAGCAGAGAGACCCGGCTAGCTCTAAGCAGACCATCAGAGGCCCCGGCATCAGCAGAGAGACCCGGCTAGCTCTAAGCAGATCATCAGAGGCCCCGGCATCAGCAGAGAGACCCGGCTAGCCCTAAGCAGACCATCAGAGGCCCCGGCATCAGCAGAGAGACCCGGCTAGCTCTAAGCAGATCATCAGAGGCTCTGGCATCAGCAGAGAGACCCGGCTAGCTCTAAGCAGACCATCAGAGGCTCTGGCATCAGCAGAGAGACCCGGCTAGCTCTAAGCAGATCATCAGAGGCCCCGGCATCAGCAGAGAGACCTGGCTAGCCCTAAGCAGACCATCAGAGGCTCTGGCATCAGCAGAGAGACCCGGCTAGCACTAAGCAGACCATCAGAGGCCCCAGTATCAGCAGAGAGACCCGGTTAGCTCTAAGCAGACCATCAGAGGCCCCGGCATCAGCAGAGAGAGACCCGGCTAGCTCTAAGCAGACCATCAGAGGCCCCGGCATCAGCAGAGAGAGACCCGGCTAGCTCTAAGCAGACCATCAGAGGCCCCGGCATCAGCAGAGAGAGACCCGGCTAGCCCTAAGCAGACCATCAGAGGCCCCGGCATCAGCAGAGAGACCCGGCTAGCCCTAAGCAGACCATCAGAGGCCCCGGCATCAGCAGAGAGAGACCCGGCTAGCTCTAAGCAGACCATCAGAGGCCCCGGCATCAGCAGAGAGACCCGGCTAGCCCTAAGCAGACCATCAGAGGCCCCGGCATCAGCAGAGAGAGACCTGGCTAGCACTAAGCAGACCATCAGAGGCCCCGGCATCAGCAGAGAGACCCGGCTAGCCCTAAGCAGACCATCAGAGGCCCCGGCATCAGCAGAGAGACCTGGCTAGCTCTAAGCAGACCATCAGAGGCCCTGGCATCAGCAGAGAGAGACCCGGCTAGCCCTAAGCAGACCATCAGAGGCCCTGGCATCAGCAGAGAGACCCGGCTAGCTCTAAGCAGATCATCAGAGGCTCTGGCATCAGCAGAGAGACCCGGCTAGCTCTAAGCAGACCATCAGAGGCTCTGGCATCAGCAGAGAGACCCGGCTAGCTCTAAGCAGATCATCAGAGGCCCCGGCATCAGCAGAGAGACCCGGCTAGCCCTAAGCAGACCATCAGAGGCTCTGGCATCAGCAGAGAGACCCGGCTAGCTCTAAGCAGACCATCAGAGGCCCCGGCATCAGCAGAGAGAGACCCGGCTAGCTCTAAGCAGACCATCAGAGGCCCCGGCATCAGCAGAGAGAGACCCGGCTAGCTCTAAGCAGACCATCAGAGGCCCCGGCATCAGCAGAGAGAGACCCGGCTAGCCCTAAGCAGACCATCAGAGGCCCCGGCATCAGCAGAGAGACCCGGCTAGCCCTAAGCAGACCATCAGAGGCCCCGGCATCAGCAGAGAGAGACCCGGCTAGCTCTAAGCAGACCATCAGAGGCCCCGGCATCAGCAGAGAGACCCGGCTAGCTCTAAGCAGACCATCAGAGGCCCCGGCATCAGCAGAGAGAGACCCGGCTAGCACTAAGCAGACCATCAGAGGCCCCGGCATCAGCAGAGAGACCCGGCTAGCTCTAAGCAGACCATCAGAGGCCCCGGCATCAGCAGAGAGACCCGGCTAGCCCTAAGCAGACCATCAGAGGCCCCGGCATCAGCAGAGAGACCCGGCTAGCTCTAAGCAGACCATCAGAGGCCCTGGTATCAGCAGAGAGAGACCCGGCTAGCCCTAAGCAGACCATCAGAGGCCCCGGCATCAGCAGAGAGACCCGGCTAGCCCTAAGCAGACCATCAGAGGCCCCGGCATCAGCAGAGAGACCCGGCTAGCCCTAAGCAGACCATCAGAGGCCCCGGCATCAGCAGAGAGAGACCCGGCTAGCCCTAAGCAGAACATCAGAGGCCCCGGCATCAGCAGAGAGACCCGGCTAGCCCTAAGCAGAACATCAGAGGCCCCGGCATCAGCAGAGAGAACCGGCTAGCCCTAAGCAGACCATCAGAGGCCCCAGCATCAGCAAAGAGACCCGGCTAGCCCTAAGCAGACCATCAGAGGCCCCGGCATCAGCAGAGAGACCCGGCTAGCCCTAAGCAGACCATCAGAGGCCCCGGCATCAGCAGAGAGAGACCCGGCTAGCCCTAAGCAGACCATCAGAGGCCCCGGCATCAGCAGAGAGACCTGGCTAGCTCTAAGCAGACCATCAGAGGCCCCGGCATCAGCAGAGAGAGACCCGGCTAGCCCTAAGCAGACCATCAGAGGCCCCGGCATCAGCAGAGAGACCTGGCTAGCTCTAAGCAGACCATCAGAGGCCCCGGCATCAGCAGAGAGACCCGGCTAGCCTTAAGCAGACCATCAGAGGCCCCGGCATCAGCAGAGAGAGACCCGGCTAGCACTAAGCAGACCATCAGAGGCCCCGGCATCAGCAGAGAGACCCGGCTAGCACTAAGCAGACCATCAGAGGCCCTGGCATCAGCAGAGAGAGACCCGGCTAGCACTAAGCAGACCATCAGAGGCCCCGGCATCAGCAGAGAGACCCGGCTAGCACTAAGCAGACCATCAGAGGCCCCGGCATCAGCAGAGAGACCCGGCTAGCACTAAGCAGACCATCAGAGGCCCCGGCATCAGCAGAGAGAGACCCGGCTAGCCCTAAGCAGACCATCAGAGGCCCCGGCATCAGCAGAGAGACCTGGCTAGCTCTAAGCAGACCATCAGAGGCTCTGGCATCAGCAGAGAGACCCGGCTAGCTCTAAGCAGACCATCAGAGGCTCTGGCATCAGCAGAGGGAGACCCAGCCAGCCCTAGGCAGAGCATCAGAGGCCCCGGCACCAGCAGAGGGGTGAGGCAGGGCGGACAGACAGACGAACAGACCCTTCTCAGGGGAGGCCTACAGGAGAAAATTCCTTCGGGAGAAGTTTCAGTGGAGTCTCTAAGCACAAGGAAGGGCTCCCTGAGGGCAGATGGGGAGCCAGGCTCAGGGAGCAGCAGCAGAGGCCAAGAGGTTAAGAGCCCCTAGGACCTGTGGGGATGCTACAGGCAGGAGGTGAGATGAGAGAGAAGGGCAGGGCTGGAAACAGGCGGGTGCTGAGTGTGTGCTGGGAGCCGGGTGCGGTTCATTCATTCTCCCATCCATTCCGTCCTTCTGTCATTTACTTGATTTGCCAATTTCATGCATGGATTCACCTGCCCTGCCTGCATCCCACGTGTCCTGAATGCCAGCGCCGAGGCCTGTGCCGAGGCCCTGGGACACCGCGGTCACCCGGGGACTGTCTCCATTCTCTGGACTCACACTGGGCTTTGAGGCATCATGGACAGTGGCCCCGAAATCTCTAAGTGACAAGGAACTGAATAGGCTTACCTTCCTCTTATTTCAAATGTGTCTTCTTGAAGACAGAAACACCCACCCTACCCCTTTGTAGCAAACCCAGAAACTCCCAGTGTAGTTCTGGAAGAGGCTCCCTGGGTGAGGGAGGCAGCTGGACCAAGGACCTAGAGGCCTCTCCTCTGTTCTCAGGGACCTCTCCATTGGCTTCTCAAGGAGTCGTGCCACCACCACCAGGTTGGCCCCCTGAGAGGGCCCCTGGGCCTCTGTTCTGGGCTGAACCTGGACCCAGACATGGTACCACCCATCCTTTGGCAGAGCTGAGATGCCCCATACCAAGTGCTGATGCAGGGCAGGTGGACCTGGGCAAACAGTGAGGCTGGGCTGCCCCTTCCTGTCTCACTGAATCTTAATAATGCCGTGATATAGGTGCCATTATGCCCATTTCACAGATGTGGAAGCTGAGGGCCAGAGGGTGAGCAACGTGCTGAAGCTCACCCAGCTATTGGCAGAGTCCGCACGCAAAGCCAGGTGTGGCCCGGCCTCAGCGCCCAGTGCTTAACCAGCGTGCAAGATGGTCACAGACAAGCTGGCCCTCCCCTATTCCCACTGCCCGTTACCAGGGAAAGCAAGCAGAGCGAAACCAGAGCCGGGCGGCCTCTCTGAGAACTGGCCAGCCCAGGTCCTTGGTGCCTGCACCAGGGCCGGGTGACCCCTGGTCCGTGGAGGGTGACATCTTGCTTTCTGTCCTTCAGGTTTCTTGTCCCCTTCTCAGGGAAAACCAAGGGTACCTTTGAGCTTGGCCACCTCCTAGCCCTGCCCACTCAACCCCACACACAAGGCTGGGAGCTCCCTTCCTTCTTCTGGACTTGTAGCCAACCCACGAGAGCCCTTCCCCTGGGTGTGTGAGCCTGCCTTACTCTACAGGACATGCTTGTCCCCTCTGCTCCATACATTTCTCGCTTCAGGCCATCGTCACCATCTGTGCGCCCCACTACGTTTGCACCCTGCCAAGCTCTCCACGGATCCTACCTTCCTCTTCCCAGCAGCCCAGTGACAGTGGCACGACTCTCAGCATTGGCTTACAGTCCACTAAGACACTAGGGGTGCAGGGGCTAAGGGACTGAGATTCAGTCACTCGGCTGTCACATGGGAAGTAGGGAGATAACCTGACATCTGATGAAGACCTCGGGCTTCCCGTGCTCAGTCAGGAGAACAGAGCTACCACCGCTCACCCCATGTGCGGGGGCTGGGGGTGTGTGTCACCTTAAGAAGCTTCTCCGGGTCAGCAGTCGGCTGGGCCTCAGCCAGGAAGCGTCTCCGTTCTTCCTCTTGGGCCAGTGCGAGCTTTGCTGTCCCCTCCACCTGGTGAGCCAGAGACGCCTTGACCAGGTCTTTGCCTTGTTGGACAAACTCTGGGATTGAAAAAAGCCACAGCACAAGTGAGTGTCTGAGCCGAACTTTCAGTGGGGATCCGCATGCCTTCTCCCATCCAGAGGCTGGGGAAGCTGGTATTGGCTGCAGAGATGGTGCCCGCCCTGTCGGTGACACACCTGGGTTTCTTTCTGAGGGTCCCGCTAGTAGCGTGACCTCAGTTAAGTCCAGATGCCTCTACGTCTCCAGCCTTGCCCACCAGCATCCCAGGGCCAGCCTTGGGGCAGGAGCATGCGTGGGATACACGTGCAGCTGAGCCACACCGGGCTCCCCTTCCCGCCCCCCATGTTGGACCTGGCTCACCCTCGCCCACCCTGCCGCTGAGCAGGCCCATGTGACTCCGGCAGGACCATGAGCTGCTGCTGGGTGACACAGGCCACTCTAAGTTTCTGGTGTGAGATCTCCACCCTCCTCTGTCCCTCAGCAGGTCTTGGTGCCTTTGCTGCAGGACATGGGGACTCAGTCAGTCTGAATCCCTGGTGAGTGAGTGCAGCAGCTGACCCCTTCCCTGGGCAGTGGCCCTCATGGGCTCTGCTGTACAGAAAAGGAAAGAGAGGCCCAGAGGACAGTCCAGTGACCCAGTCCCTAGAGCAGAAGCAGACTGCTGCAGGTTTCCAGCCCACCCTGCATAGCCCCAGGGACCCAGGATGCCAGAGTTGTGGACCACGGCACCCATGCCCATGATCACCCCGGGTCATGGACCATGGCGCCCATGCCCATGCTCATCCCTGGGTCGTGCACCATGGCACCCATGCCCATGCTCACCTCTGCGTCATGGACCACAGCACCCGTGCCCACGCTCACCCCTGCATTGTGGACCACGGTGCCCGTGCCCACGCTCACCCCTGAGTTGTGGACCATGGCACCCGTGCCCACGCTCATCCCTGTGTTGTGAACCACGGCGCCCATGCCCATGCTTATCCTTGGGTCGTGCACCACTGTGCCCATGCCCATGCTCACCCCTGCGTCATGGACCACAGCACCCGTGCCCACGCTCACCCCTGCATTGTGGACCACAGTGCCCGTGCCCACGCTCACCCCTGAGTTGTGGACCATGGCACCTGTGCCCACGCTCATCCCTGTGTCGTGAACCACGGTGCCCATGCCCACACTCACCCCTGCCTCGTGGACCACGGCGCCCATGCCCACGCTCACCCCTGCTGAAGCACTCCGCCTCCTGCCAGAAGGCCTTGTGCTGCTGTGTGAGCAGCTCCTCCTTCTGCCGCCCAGACAACTTCCCCTCACCAGCCAGCAGCTCCAGGCCATGGGCGATGGCAGCCAGCCGGCACCTGGTCTCCTCCTGGACCTGCAGCCTCAGAAACTCGATCACCTTTGCCATGTGCGCCCGCCCCATCGTCCTCTCCAGGATGTCCTGCAAGAAAAAACACACAAGACCACAGTTAGGGCGTCCTGGGAACCGTTCAGCTTCCCATGGAACAGCTCAGAGGAATGAACTCCTCTTCTCCTTCATGAGTGAGACCTGGGTCTGCCCCTGAGGTGGGGATTAATGCCTCTCCTAGGGGTGCGGGGAGGCTGAGCTGGGTAACACATGGCAGTTCATCCCCAGTGAGTGCGCCCCAGAGGGCCGCTCTCCCGGGAGGGAATCCAGATTTGCAAATGGTCAAGGAAAAAAAGGCACCTTGCTTACAGTCACCTCCCCCAGCTAATCTGACCCTGTGGCTCCCCCAGGACGGAGGAGGAAATGTGAAGTGCCCGCTGTCCCCAGCTTTCGAGCCCCAGAGAGCCTGACTGCTGCGGACAGCCAAGATTTTCTGGGAAATGATTGGCTTCCAACATGACTCCCTGCAGTCAGATTCTACAGCAGGCCCTTCCCGGCCCCACCTCATCATTTCATGGACTTGACTATCGGGAAAAACGGGAAAATGTCAACCCGAGGCAGCCAAGGCATGCACACCCAAAAGCAGCTGCTGGTGGAATGAGAGTAAGGGGAATGGAGGAGCAGGCGGGGGGCCCCGGCATTTCCCTGGCACAGACTCTGCACCCCCAACTCCCAGCCAAGCCCAGCTCAGGCCTGGGCACGTCTGTGCTGGGCTGAGGCCAGGGGCCAGTCCTGCTCCCCAGCCTCCCATCTCTGCGCCAAGCTCCAACTCCACCTTGCAGACCAGGGGACCTTTCAGAGATGCTGATGGTTCTGTCAGCCCTGGCCCCAAACCCTCCTGTTACTGCCCCGAGATCAAGTCCAGTGCCCCAGGCACGGCACAGGAAGCTCTGTCGGGCCTTGTCCCATGCACCTGCCTGCTCCTGGCTGCCCAGCCTCTGCACATGCGGGGCCGTCCTCCTGGAATACCCTCGCTGCCTCCTCTCACTCCCCTGCCTGGCCAGGTCCTTCTCATCCTCTCGGGCTCTGTGGCCATTCCCTGTTCATCCCGCATGGGTCCCCTGCTCTGGGCTCCCATCTTGGAGGATGTGATTGTGAGTAGCAGTCCCAGCCCTGTCTGAGAGCCCTTGAGGACAGGAGCCAGGCCTGAGTCACCCATGTCCCCTTGACCAGCCATGGCCTTGCTGTGTTCTGAGCTGCACTGGCCTCTGTTCCCACAACACAAGATCAGGGCAGGAAGATCCCCCAGTGACGGACCCGGACGCTGACACTCATTCCAGCAGCCTGTGACCCCTAGAGGGCGCAAGAGGATAAGCGGAGGTGCCCGTGGGCTGGACGGGCGGCCGTGACCACCTCTAAGGAGCACGTGAGGATGTTGAGAGCCCAACACAGGCCAGTGGGGTGGGCAGAGGTGGTGCAATCGATGGGCTTATATTGGAGAGAGGATGGAGTGGAGAGAGGTGCATGAGAAGAGGGACATGGGATGGAGGATGGGGGCCCCGACCTGCTCCGAGTGTGGCTGAGTCCTCGACAGACTTGGCTCCCAGGACCCGGGCACAGGCTCCTCACCCGACCCCTGCCGCACAGATCTGACATGAGGGTTAAGTCAGTCAGAATCCGTAAAGCATTGAGAGCAACAGCCACGGCACAGTGAGCCTCCCTGAGCGTCAGCCCTTTCCATCATTATCAGCGGCCCGTCCCCACATCTGTCTCGGCAGCTGTTTTTTTTTTCCCGTGTGTCTCAAGAAACTGAATCTTATGACTGTCAGGGTCCCTTTGAAGGGCTCTTCCAGTTTTAATATTCAGAGATGCACATTCCAGCTCCAAATTCCCAGGCCAGAAAGATCAGATGCCACCCTGGGAATGTCAACTCTTCCGTGTTCTGAGATACAGGGGCCATCTTTTTCCCATATGCAGGCACAGTGAATCCATTCCTCTTCTGTACAGACACAGACTGTAGCCCTGTCCACACCTCATTACAACAACTTGTTGTCGTCTATTTCTCCTGCTGACACGTGGCCTGTGGGGCTCTAATGACTGACAAGTACTGACTGCTGCCCGCATGCTGGGCTCTTCTCTAAAAACCCTCCGTACTGTGGAGTCTTTCACACTCTCAGTGACCCTGTGAGACAGCAGGTGCTCTTACAGTCCCCATTCTATAGACGATGAAACCAAGTCACAGAGAGGTTAAATTATCTACCCAAGATCACACAGCTAATGAGTGGCTCAAGACTGCAGTAGGACCTCCGGTTTCTTCCCCGAGTCTGCATTTGTAACCTCTGCAATATGGTTTCCATAACAGCATGTGGCAAACAGTAGGTGCTCATTAAACACTGGCTGAAGGACCGTCATGCTGTTAAACTGGACGATCCCTTTCCTTCTTACTATTTGGAAGTTATTGACTGATGCTCTGGCCAGAGTCAGCTAACGATCTATTTTCTTTTTTCTGCATCAATATCCTGCTTGCAGCAAAAGAAAAAAAAAAGAGGAAGAAAAGTCTTTCACCTTTGCAGAGCATTAATATTGAGTCAGCAGCCTTATCAAACTGAAATCCAATTCAAAGGGGCTTGGGCAGCAAACCAGGAAGTTTCAGGCCCAGGCTCAGTGACGTCATTAGACAGGATGGGGATGTTAGGTGCGTAACTGAGTGGGCTCCTTATCTGTGTGCTGTGAATAAAATACCTCCCACGCCTATCTTTTGGTAGTGTTGAGATAAAAAAGAAGACCTTGTGTGCATGTGCTGAGAAAAAGCATATGAAGTTCTTAAACAACTGTGTGGATGTGGGGGTCTTGTTGAAGCGTGGATTCTGCTCAGGAGGGTGGAGGACAGGATTCTGCATTCTAACCAGCTCCTGGTGCAGCCGATGCTGTGGTCTGTGGATCACACCCGGGGGAGCAGAGCGGCTTGGGAGAGGCCGCAGTGTGTAGGGGTGGCAAGGATCCACTGAGGCTTAGCTTTCCCATTGGTCTGAAGAGCTGAGTCTGTGCTGAGGGCAGGGCAGCCACTGGAGGGTTCTGAGCGGAGCTGCCACATGGGCTGGCACACAGGACAGGGAAATGGGTGCAGAGCCAGCATCAGAGGGCTCGTGCACACTGGCTGGCACACACGGGACGAGCCCAACGTGTACCAAGAGAAACCCAATGGAGACTGGGGTGTTAGGAGTCACTCAGCAGCGACCCAGGCCTGTCTGTGGCAACTCTTAGCACTATTATTTTATAAATAAAGTAACAGACACTCAGAGAGTTAAGTCATGTGTTCAAGATTACACAGCTCCAAACAACAGAGCCCAGGGTCAACGCTGGATTTGCAGATTTCTCTCCCGTGGGTGTCCAACCCTTTGAATGTGAGGATGTTTTACACTTACCTGTGACGGCAGCCTTCATAAATATATGCAGAAAACTTTTTTTTTTTTAATTTGCTCATCAGCTATCATCAGTGTCGGTGTATTTTATGTGTGGCCCATCAGCTATCATCAGTGTTGGTGTATTTTATGTGTGGCCTAAGACAATTCTTCCTCCAGTGTGGCCCAGGGAAACCAAAAGGTCGGACATCCATGCACCAGTGGTTCGTATCCCTGGCCTCCCATCAGAATAGTTCGGCGAGTTTTAAAACCCACAAGGCCAGGGCCTCCACTCCAGACCAATCAGATCAGAACCTCTGAGAGCGAAGGTCAGGAAAAGGCATTTTTAAAGAACTCTGCGGCAAAACAGGGCAGTCAGGAGAGTAAACCAATGCTCTATCTACACCAGCAGGCATCAACCCCAGTGCTCACTGTTGTCATTGGGGAGTTCTAAAAACCCCAGTGCCCAGCCAGGTTGCACCCAGTCTGACTAAGTCAGAAACTCTGGGTAGACACCCATCTGGGGCCCAAGAATCAATACTTTTTAAAGCTCCCCAGAAAATTTCAATGTGTAATTTCAGGTTTAGGACTAGAGTTCTATGCTGCAGTAATAATGAGCTGGCCAGAGCCTTCACTCATTGGATGGACGGATGGACGGATGGATGGATGGATGGACAAACAGATGGATAGGTAGGTGGATGGATGGGTGGTTGGGTGGGTGGGTGGATAGGTGGACAGATGGGTAGGTGGACAGATGGGAAGTTGGATGGATGGGTGGATGGGTGGGTTGGTGGATGGATAGATGGATGGATAGGTAAGTGGATGGATGGGTAGGTGGATAGATGGGTGGTTGGGTGGTTGGGTGGGTAGATGGACGGATGGGTAGGTGGATGGATGGGTAGGTGGGTGGATGGGTGGGTGGGTGCGTGGGTAGATGAATGGTTGGATGGATGGGTGGGTGGACAGGTGGGTGAATGGATGGATGGATGGATGGATGGATGGATGGATGGATGGGTGGTTGGAAGGGTAAATGGGTGGATGAATGGGTGATGGATGGATGAATAAATGGATGGATGGATGAATTTACTGTTTTTTTCCCCTGGGGCTCTATATACCCAGCTACAACATGATCTGTTAGATTTAATAATGTCAAGCGTTGGGATTCCAAATCTCTAGTCTGAATATCTTGATGTTCCTTCCCGCCCCCTCCAGCATTACCAGAGCCTGCAGCTCCTGAGAATCGCACAATAGCCCTTCGGCTGCAATCATTCTTTCCGTCAGAGTCATCATGAGCTGTCGGGCTTTGGAGCTGGAACACTTAAATTGGTCCACAAGAAAGTGCTGGATGTTTTCCATCTGTTTCCAGAAAGCTTCCATCTGTGAAATGAGCAAAGGCAGCAAGAAGTGAGGGAAAAACTTACTCAAGAAAGCCAAACGGGTGCATGCTTGGGAATTACAATTCACTCCTTATTACAAACAAAGATTCTAAACAATTGTACAATTTCAATGAGTTTATCTTGGCAACAATCACATTCTACGGTAAAGTTTTTTTCTGGTTCCATTGCAGGAGCCAGTTCTGTGATGGCTTTTCAGCAGACACAAAAGCACTGCTGCTAAGGAAAGAAAGCAGTAGCTTGTCCAGCCTGCAGACTCTCGCATGGGTCATTAAGCTACCTAGGGGCAGATTAAATGTGAAAATGTGCTCCTGGAAGCTTTGGGAATTTTAAAAGGGATTAAACACTTCCCAGAAATAAAAGCATAAACAGACACTTAAACATTAGTTATTGTCCTGAAAGTACAAAAGTTTAACATGGCAGAGACGATGCCCACCATGAAAACCTTTTGCTTTAAAATACGTTTCCTCCCTTCTCCTCATTTTATCAGGAGCAGAGCTGGGAATCCCCAAGTGGCTTAGCATGCAGGTTTAACTGCATCATTGCAGCCAGTCAGAGCTCTAAGGACAATGACACCAGAAGCTGAACAACTTTCCCTCGTGGCCTGCAGGCTGTCTGCCAGGTTCCGTACGTCACACATTTGATGCCTTGGTAAGTTTGTATGGGGAGACGTAGGTCATGTAACCAATGAGAGCCAGGATTTGGTTCAGGTCCATTTCACTCCACGGCTGGGATTGTCTCCATCTTGGCTCAGCCTCTCAGAGGCTGCAATGGACACTTCTGGCTGGACCAGGCATGGGAGGGGGCATGGGTTAGTGGCACCAGAAACCCATGCGGATCTTGTTGCTGTGATTAAAGGTCATGGTACCTGTAACCTTATAACCTTTCTACTTTGTCCGCTGTAACTGCGGCATCTGTCTGGCTCTGCCACAGGGAAGCCTGCACCCAGATGAACACCGCCCCCCAATTGGTGTGGCTTCCCACCTCAGGACCCCATGGCCTCCCAGTAAACCCCATGCATGCTGCTGGTCAGCTCCTCCTCCCATCCCTGCCAGGAGGGACCTCACACCTGCCTGGCACCCTCATGCTGTCACCCTGCTCTTCCCCCTGGGGCCATCAGATGACCTGCCTTCCACCTGCCATGCGACTGCAAATTGTCACCCACCAACTCTGCACGCCCCGCTCTGCTTACAAACTCCTGATTCTCTTGGCATCCACGACGTGATTTTCTCCTGCTTCTGCAAAGCCCATCCACTTCCTCCGCTGCTTTCTTGTCCCGATTCTTCTCATCCCCTCCTCCTTAAATATGGGCAGGATCCAGCATTTGCCCCCAAGATCTTTTCTCTTCCCATTTTACACACATTTCTAGGCCAGAGGCATCTCCATTTTCGGAGGTCACCAGTACTTTGGAGAATCTTATGAAAACTCGGAGCCCTCTCCCTGAGAAATGCAGACATGGACAAGATGCTGCCCACAGCATTGGGGGTTCTGTGCACCACTGGAATCCAGGCTGTGCCCACAGTTGTAAGAACATTCTGGCCCTCCAGGCCCTCTAACGTGGGTTCTCATGGAGACGCTGCATCTCTAGGCCTCTCCTCTCAACATTGGACCTAGTCGAAGGAGAGGAGCACCAGCTCCCTCCCTCCCATGCGCTTCTCACTCTGGGACCCTTATTTCAGCAGCACTGACGCTGGACTCCTCCTCCTCCCCACCCACTGCCCCACAGTAGATCACCACAGCTTCTCTCACACTTTTCCTCACCTGTCCGTCCCACTGCGGTTGCCTTAATAAAGTTCCTGCTGGACTAGCCCAGTAGACCTTCACCAGCCCCCACTCAGTGCCTGGGCAGCCTTTCTAAAACAGATGCTGAACCCAGCCACCTCCTGCTTCAAAGCTTCGGTGCCTCCCACCTCCGCGGCATAAGGCACAAGCCGGCCAGATCCCTCTGGCTTTACCTCACCTCGACTTGCTCTCAGCCCTCCTTACCTCCCATCCCTGCCCCACCCCTGGCCAGCACCCACACTTCTCCCGACCAGCCTCTCCCTGGTCCCTTCCTCTATGGAGGCTTTCCTGAGCCTGGGGTCAATGAACGCTTCCCTCCACTGTGCCTGCCTTGGGTCTTCTCCTATGTTTCCTTCTATCACAAGACGTGTGGCCCCATGAAGCGTCATCTGCTCACCTGTTGGTCCCCCCTGGCACCTCTCAGGCAAGGCCATGTCTAAATGACTGTTATGTCCCCAGTGCCCAGCATGATGCCTAGTGAAGAGCGAGTGCCCAGGAAATGTGAACAGGGGGTGGTGGAACCCAAGAGAAAAGAAAAAAGTATTTCAGGGAAGCCATTCAGTCTGCAACTTAAAGCATACTTTCATGAGCGGTGCCTAGCAGCTTTGTCTGCTCTGCTCCAAAGGGCAGTGATGACAGCAAAGGTTAGAGCAATCTGCTTTGAATGATAAAAAGACCAATCTGAAATTTAAATGAGGATAATTCATGACATAAAAAATAAACCTCCCTTTGTGAATCTTTGCTGCTTAATTACTTCTTCCCTATCACTTAGCATCAGAGACTGGATCCTGCCTCCTGGGCAGAATGTGATAGGTTAATCCAAGTATTAGGCACACTTCTAACTCTTATCTCTTTAATTTAGCCAATTTCACTGTTTTTGAAACCAATGTTTGTGTACAGGAAAGAAAGTCCAGCACGCACATTATCGATTAGCTGTTCAGAGTATTCTCGCTCCTTCTTTTCCACATCAGCCAGGGTGATATACTCAGAGTCACCAGCCCCTGACATTTCTGTGTTTGACAGTTTGACCTGAAGTCCCTTTTCTAATTCCTCCAAATCCTAGAGAAGAAAAAAAAGCAAATAAACAAAGAAAAAAATTATTGTGTCTTAAGTTCTAGAAAAATAAACGTTCTTATTTTTCACCACATTATTACAAAATATTTTAAAACAATAATTAAATGCTCTGGGCATTGTTGTACATGAGATTTGATAATAAACCTACTGGCAGCAAATCTATTTTCTCATTAAACATAGAGCTTCAAGAACAATGGATTATTTTCTTCTGTATCCTCCTGCAAACAAAAAAGTTAGACCATACTTTAAAAAATCAATAAAATAGTATCTTTCAATCATTATAAAGTCCTGGAAAATATCATGACATCTGGTGGGTTGGGAAGGAATGTTTCTTCCCTCTTCTTCCGGTTTTCCTGGAGAAAAATTACTCACGACACCTCAGGGCAGGAAGTAGTGTGTATTCGATTGGTTGGTTCAAAACCCGGAAGCTTGCCCAGCCTCTTCCTGTTTTGATGGGGCAATCAGGGGATGCCATTGCTCTGGTGTGGTCTCAGCCTAGAGTGGGCTGGATAGCCAAGACCTTGTTTCTCTGTGGGGAAGCCTAAAATGGCCCAGTATTGCCTGTGACTAGCTAGGCAATTGAGTGATTTCTGGGATTCAGTATTAGGAAGCCATGAGAGCTGTGCAACTAAGCCACGTCCTCCAAGCTGGCCTCTACTCGGTAATAAAGCTACATTTCTATATCTGGCTTCTTGACTCTCAACTGATTCTGAACTCAGGAAAGAAAAGGGGCATTCTAAGTATAGCGTCCTACAAACCCCAAGATGGAGTGTGGGAGGCAGTTCTGCTTTCTCTATGTTCATTGCCACACAGCCAACAGTGTGGCATCGGTCCAGCTTCATCAGGAAAACTAACATTGATGTAAAGTACGATTGAGGACCCAAGCTGAGGCCACACGTGATTTCCAATCTTCACAGCATCTTTGCAGGAGAGAAATTATGACCCCTTTCCAGGTGACAAAGCTGGTTTATGGAAGGTAAGATAGTTTGTCCAAAGACTCCCAGGCAGAAAGGGGCAGTGCTAGCCTTGTCCTTACTCTTCCAAATTCTGGGCACTTCTCATCTTCTTCTGAAAGTTTTAAGGTTATTGCAAGTGTTAAATGAAATTATGCCTTTAAATCACTCGACTAGACTGTCTCAATAAATACTAGCCACTATTCTAATTAATATGCTTGTCTAAGTTCAAACAGCCTTGTTTAACTGATAGAGATTGGATTTGATCTGAGGTCTGCAGACTCCAGAGCTCTTATTCTTCCCATTATAGCAGACAGTATTGTTTCATTATTATTAATGCAATGATAAATGTCATCATCATTATCATTTTTGCCATTGGAAAGTCATTTGAACTCATGGAGCCTCAGTTTCCTCAGCTGTAAAACAAAAATAAGAACGGCCACTCACAGGGCTGTCATAACTATTAAATGAAATAATGTATGCCAAGCACCATGTGCATTGCCTGAGGACCATGACCATGGTGGTGGTACTGAAGGTGACAATGAAGGCAGTGATGTCTTTCCTCCTTCCTGGGACGCAGTAAGTCATCCTTCTTCATGGAATCCAGTGGAGTAAGGAAGAAACATTCCTTCCCACACCCCCAGATCTAATGATGATACTATCAAGGATGATGATGATGATGATGATGATGATGATAAGGACTCTAATGAAGGTGAAGGTAGAGGTAGAAGATGAAGACGGTGATGATGGTGGTGCTGAGGAGACAAACACAGTGATGCAGTGATGATGGCAATAATGAGAATGATGACAGTAACAATTATGATGATAATGAAAATGATGGTAGGGGATGATGAAGAAGAGGCTGGTGACAGTAGAATCAGAATAATGATGATGATGGTGAGAATAAGGTAAGCCAGGATACCGGCAGGGCTTGTTTTCTGATCACAACCCTGCTGATCAAAACGGGATCTGGTCCAGACAGGATAAAGTGAAAAAACCAGCAGGAACCAGTGGATGGTGATGAAAGTGATCCCTTGCTGCCCTCATTACTAATTACCTTGCTGCCTTCATTGCTCATTAGCATAAGACATTCCCAGCAGCACAACCACAGATTACAAATGCCATGACAACAACCCAAAAGTTACCAACCCTTTCAATGGCAACAACCCAGAAGTTACTGTCCCATTTTCAGAAAGTTCGAAATCACCTGTCCCTCAATTTGCATTCAATTGCCCCTTAATTTGCATGTAACTAAAAGTGGGTTTACATGAGTATAAGTACTGTTGCCAAGCTGTTACCAACTCTGGGCACACTGCCTATGGGTTAGCTCCGCTCCACAAGGAGTGGCACCATTCACTAAAAGACTACTGTCTAACACCACTGGCTCTCCCTTGAATTCCCTCCTGGGTGAAGCCAAGTATCCTCCCAGGCTAAACCCCATTCTGGAGCTCGCCTGTGTGGCAACATTTGTAGTGGTGATGGCAATGAAGATGGTGATGATGATTATGGTGGTAATGAAGATGATGATGGCGGTGATGGGAATGAGAATGCCAATGACTGCAACGACAATGATAAAATGATGCTCATGATGATGTAATGAGGACAGGAGGATGGTGATGGTGGTGGTGATGACGGTGTCATGAGGATGACGATGACGGTGGTAAAGACAGAAAGAAGGATGATGGTGTCAGCGGTGACAATAACAAAAAAGATGGTTGATGGTGAGGACAAGAATGATGTGAAGAAGAGAACGGTGATGGTAGTGGTGGTGGTGATGGTGGTGGTGGTGATGGTGGTGGTATAAAATAAAAATGATGGCAATCACAAAGATGATGGTGATTTTGGTGGTGGTTGTAATAATGAGGATGATGGTAGCCATCACATAGCCACAGTCTATGATATTCCCAGGTGCAGCATACACATCTCTCTTATCCTTTCTGCACTATTGCAGAACAGATTATCTCATTACACAAAAAAGAAACCAGGATTCTGAGAGCTTATAAAAGATAGAGCCCGAGTGACTCCAAGCCCCAATTCTTTGCTGTGCATGAAACAAAATAAACTTTCCATAAAAGGCTGAGAATAGAATACAAACTAGTATATATAGCTACAACCAAAAAACAAATTATCACGTCTTTAAAAATATCCCAAACTTGTGCAGACAATAACATTAACAGTGACTGTCTGAGTAGTGAATACGGCCAATACTCTTCTCTTTGCTATAAATATTTTCCAAATTTTAATAATACACTGTTCAAATATTTGCATACATACTTTTATATTTCATTATACTGTGTTAAAAAGTGTATATTGTAAGAGCCTATTTTATACATGGAAGAAAAAATAGTTTTGTATCTTAAGTTTTATATATTATAATAAACTATTTTTAAGTTACTTTTAAATATAGGTTGAAGACTTACATTTTCTTGCTTTGAAAGGATCTTCTGGTATAATTCATCATTCTTTTTAGGAAGAAGATCAAGGAGGCACATTTTTAAAATCTGAATAAACATCTATTGCCAAAAAAGGAAAGATAACAAGAGAAGAGTTTAACCAATGGTGCTTCTTTCACTTTCTGTTGTCTCTTTCCCTCCCTCCCTCACTACCTCCCTCCTTCTCTTCTTCCTTCACCCTCTCTCCACACGTCTTGCTGTAAGAAAGGACCTCCGATTATAAATCATGAAAATGGTCCATAATGGATTACATTTTCATGAAGCTTCCTAAAAAAGCTTCACTTCTTCACGCCTGTATTCAACAAATATTAGGTGCTTACTCTATGCAAGATCCTCCACATCCCCCATTTCCATGTGTGAAGAAAATATGAAAGGCAAAGGAGGGTTTGCTTCTTTGAAGAATCAGTGGGATAGTTGTTTGGAATTGGAAATGCAAAGTCATCCATGTCAGTCCCCTGTTTCAATGGTTGGAGACATCCCTTAAACCAAGAAGGACCCTCCCATAAGTGGGGATACCCAGGGAAGTACAGAGGGGACTGTGTCCACATTTTGTTGATCTATTCACCCTTGTAAGATATCTGGATTGTTTCCAGTTTGGGGTTATGAATAATGCTGCTATGAACATTTGTGTGAACGTAAGTCTTCATTTCTCTGAGATAAATGCCCACAAGTGCAATTGCTGGCTCTCCTGGTAACTGCAAGCTTAATTTGATAAGAAATTGCGAAAATGTTTTCAGTGTGGTGGTAGGTACCATTTTATATTCCCATCAGCAATGTATGAGTGATCAGTTTCTCCACATCCTTGTCAGCATTTGGTGTTGTCACTGTTTTTTATTTTAGCCATTTTGACACGTGTGTAGTGATATCTTACTGTGAATTTAACTTGGATTTTCATGCTGGCTTAACAATACTGAATAGTTTTTTATGTGTTTACTTACCATCCATGTATCCCTTTAGGTGAAATATCTGTTCATGTCTGTCCCATTTTCTAACTGGATTGCTTCCTGTCTTCAGCAGAGTTTGGACATTTCTGTAACTGGTCTAGGCACCAGTCCTTTGGCAGGTACCTGCTTTGCAAACATTTTCTCTAACCTCATAGCTGTTATCTTGTCATCTTCTTAATGAGGTTTTTTGCAAAGCAATAGTTTTTAATTTTGATGAACTCCAGCTAATTTTTCCTTTTGTGTGTCATGCTTTTGATGTCAAGTCTAAAAACTCTTTGCCCAGGTCTAAATCCTGGAGAGTTTCTCATATATATATATATATATATATATATATATATATATATATGTATTATATATGTGTGTGTGTGTATATATGTATATATATATACACATATATACACACACACCCATATATATATGTATATACATATATAATGTGTATATACAAAATGGTACAATCTTGGCTCACTGCAACCTTCACCTCCCAGGTTCAAGTGAGTCTTCCGCCTCAGCCTCCCAAGTAGGTAGGATTACAAGCTTGGCCACTACACCCGGTTAATTTTTGTAACCACTCATACATTGCTGATGGGAATATAAAAATGTTTTCCATCCTGGAAAACATTTTTGTAATTTCTTATCAAATACATATATAAAATACATATATATATATGATTTCTTATCAAATTCGGCAATCTCTTATCAAATACGTGTGTGTGTGTGTGTGTGTGTGTATATATATATATATATATATATATATAGAGAGAGAGAGAGAGAGAGAGAGAGAGAGAGAGAGAGACAGAGAGACAGAGAGAGAGAAGAGAGGGAGAGAGAGAGATGGAGTATCGCTCTGTCATCCAGACTGGAGTGCAGCGGTATGATCTTGGCCCCCTGCAACCTTCACCTCCCAGGTTCAAGAGAGTCTTCTGTCTTAGCCTCCCAAGTAGGTAGGATTACAAACTTGTGCCACCACACCCGGCTGTTTTTTGTATTTTTAGCAGAGATGGAGTTTCCATCATGTTGGCCAGATTGGTTTTGAACTCCTGACCTCAAGTGATCCACCCGCCTCAGCCTCCCAAAGCGCTGGGATTATAGGCGTGAGCCAACCGTGCCCGGCAATATTTTTTTCTAAAAGATTTATAGTTTATTATTTATATTTAAGTATTTGATCCTTTTTGAGTTAATTTTTGTGTAAGGTGTGAGATTTTGGTTCAAGTTCTTTTGCTGTTGTTGTTTTGTTTATGGATGTCCAATTGCTCCAGTACCATCTATTAAAAGCTCATCATTCCTCCATTGAAGTGCTTTTGCCCCTTCATCAAAGGTCATTTAGATATTAGAAGGTAAGGCATTTTTTGTCTTTGGTTTGTTTTGTTTTGTTTTAGAGAGACGGGGTCTCTCCATGTTGCCCAGGCTGGTCTCGAACTCCTGAGCTCATGTAACCTGCCCGCCTTCACCTCCCAAAGTGCTGGGATTATAGGAACGAGCCACTGCACCCAGCCTGGTAAGGCATTTTTAAATGCAGAGATTAGTGAAGTTTTTCAGTAAAGGGTGGCACAGCAAATATTTTTTTGGCTTTGCAGGCCACATGATCTCTTTTGCAACTACTTAGTCCTGCGGTTGTGGTATATGCCATGCAGGCAATCTGGAAAGGAAGGGGCATGGCCAGGTTTGGCTCAAGGGCCACAGTTTTTGATCCTTCTTTAGTGGGTTAAGGCTTCTGTGCCAGCCTAATGTATGTATTATATATACTACCACTTGATCTTCACAGCATGCGGGGAAATTGATATCATCTTCCCCATTTTTCCCTTCCCCTGAAAAAATGCCCAGCAACTTGCCTCCTGCCACACAGCCACAGGCAATAGAGCTGAGATTCGAACCCAGAACTCTGCCCACCAACCTTCATATTTGCCAGTGACAGTGAGCTCCAAGAAGAAAGTGGTGTCCTGGCTTTCTACCCGCTGAAGACTGTCACGGTGTAAGATAGAATAACAGTATTTTTGCAAGATGTTAGTTTCAAGTCTACTTTCTTCCCGGCCCCAAATGAATCGGTAATGCTTACAGCCTCATCCTCTCCCTCTCCAGAGTGCCGGTTTGGGGACAGTTATAGGCTCAAATGGAGACACAAAAATAATACAAGCATATCATGGAGATACTGTGGGGTTGATTTCAGGCCACCTCAGTAAGGTGACTATCAATAAAGCAAGTCACACGTATTTTTTGGTTTTCCAGTGCATATAAAAGCTATGTTTTTACTATACTGTAGCCTAGGTGTACAGTAGCATTATGTCTAAAAAAGTACATATTTTAATTTAAAAATACCTTCTTCCCCAAAAATGCTAATGTTCATCTGAGCCTAAGATGATTATTAAAAAAAAAGTTGTAATCTTTTAGCTGGTGGAGTGTCTTGCCTTGATGTTGATGGCTGCTGACTTATGAGGCTAGTGGCCGCTGAAAGCTGGGGTGGCTGTGACGGTTTCTTAAGACAACTCTGAAATTGGCCACATCAACTGACTCCTCCTTTTACAAAAGATTTATCTGTAGCATGCCATGCTACTCGATAGCAATTTGCCCACAGTGGAACTTGAAAACTTGAAGTCAATCGTCTCAAGCCCTGCAGCTGCTTTACCAACTAAGTTTATGTAATACTCTAAATCCTTTGAACAACATTCAAAGCATCTTCACCAGAAGCATATCCCTTCTCTAGAAACCACTTGCGTTGCTCATCCGTCAGAAGCAGCTCCGCATCCACTCACGTTCCACCATGAGATTGCAGCAACTCAGCCCCATCTTCAGGCTCAAAGTCTGATCCAAGTTTTCCTATTTCCACCACATTTGCAATGACTTCCCCCACTGAAGTCTTGAATCCCCTCGAAGTCATTCATGAGGATCGGAATCAACCTCTTCCAAACTCTTGTCAATGTTGGTATTTTGACCTCCTCCTATCAATCATGAATGTTCTCAATGGCATCTAGAATGGTGAATTCTTTCCAGAAGGTTTTCAATTTACATTGTTCAAATCCTTCAGAGGAATCACTATCTACGGCAGTTACAGCCTTAGGAAACATATTTCTTAAACAATAAGACTTGAAAGTTGAAATTCCTCTGTGATCAGTGGGCTCGGAATGGATGCTGTGTTGGCAGGCATGAAAATACATTAAATTCCTTGCACATCTTCATCAGCGCTCTTGGGTGGCCAGGTGTTTTGTCGATGAGCAGCAGCATTTTGAAAGGAATTTTGTTTTCTAAGCAGCAGGTGTCAACAGTGAGCTTAAACCATGCTATAAACAGTGGTGTTGTAGTCCAGGCTCTGCTGTTCCATTTACAGAGCACAGGCAGAGTAGACTTAGCATAACCCTTAATGGCCCTGGAATTTTCAGAATGGTAGATGAGTACTGGCTTCGGCTTACAGTCATCTCCTGCATTAGCCCCTAACAAGAGAGCCAGCCTGTTCTTTGAAGCCAGGTATTGACTTCTCCTCTTTAGCTATGAAAGTCTTAGATGGCATCTTCTTCCATGATCATATCGTGTTATTTCATTCACACTGAAAATCTGTTGTTTAGGGCAGCCGCCTTCACAAAGGGTCTTACCTGGATCCTCTGGGTAACTTGCTGAAGCTTTTCCATCAGCACTCGTGGCTGCTTCACCTTGCACTTTTATCTGTTCTAGAGACAGCTTCTTTCTTTAAACCTCATTCTCTGCTAGCTTCAAATTTTTCTTCTGCATCTTCCTCACCACTCTCAGCATTCACAGAATTGAAGAGAGCTGGGGTCTTGCTCTAGATGAGGCTTTGGTTTACGGGGATGTTCTGTCTGCTTTGATCTATGCAGACCAGTTAGACTTTCTCCGTATCAGCAATAAGGCTGTTTTCCTTTCTTATCATTCGTGTGTTGACTGGAGTAGTACTTTTCATTTCCTTCAAGAATTTCTTCTTTGCATTCACAACTTGGCTAACGGTGTGGTGTAAGAGGCCCAGCTTTCAGCCTGTCTCAGCTTTTGATCTGCCTTTCTCACTACGCTTCACAATTTCTAGCTTTTGATTTAAAGTGAGAGACATGTGACTCTCTCTTTCACTCAGACACCTGGACGCCATTGCAGCATTACTAACTGGCCTAATTTCGGCATCCCAGTGTCTCAGGGTATAGGGAGGCCCAAGGAGAGGGAGTGGCCAGTCGATGGATCAGTCAGAACACATCGAACGTTTATTAAGTTCGCCGTCTCACACGGGCGCAGTCTGTGATGTCCTCAAACAACTACAATCGTAACGTTCCACATCACTGATCACAGATGACCGTAAATAATCATGAAAAAGTCTGAAATAGTGCAAGAGTTACCAAAACGTCGCACAAAGACGTGAAGTGAGCATGTGCTATTGGAAAAATGGAGCCACAGACTTGCTGGATGCAGAGTAGCCAAAAACCTTTAATTCGTAAAACAAACAAAAAAATGCAGCATCTCTGAAGCACAATAAAGTGAAATGCAATAACGCCAGGTGTGCCTGCACAAAGCGCTGTGTGCTCCTCCCCCAGGGGTGGCTTCTGATGACACCCTGGTACGGTATCGAAACTGGGAAAGTGCCACTGGTCGAATACTGTTGTCTGCAGACGCTATTCAGCTTTCCCCCATCTTTAAGCACATTTACGCGTGTGCACGTGTGTGTGCGCGTGTGTGTAGTTCTATGCAATTTTACCCCACGTATAGATTCAGGCAAGCGCAGCCACAGTCAAACTAATATTCCAGCACCCTGAGACCCCTCGTGCTGGCGCGCCCCTTTATTTAAACTTTCCTCCATGCCACCCGTCTGTTCTCATCCCGACCGCTCTATAGAGGTTCCACTCCAGCTCCTCCTGCCTCTTGGACAAGCCCAGAGCCAGTTTCTTCCTCCTCAGGGCCAGCCAGGGAGCTCCAAACTTCTGGGACACATGAGGGTCTCGGTCTGAAGAACTCCAGAACCCCAGCTCATCTCGACCAGGGAAACAGAGCTTGAGGTCTCCAGGTAGCACAGCTCCAGGGGCTCACCCGGTTCCTACAGAGCCAGCATGCAACGATGGAGCTGTGCTCCCCAGAGAAGGACTGGGCTGGGAGGTAGCTCTCTCAGGGCGGTGCTGGTCACACGCGCAACACATTTCTCCTGAGCACCTTCAAAGTGCAGAGTGCAGGGCTACACTGGGCATGCAGGGGCCTTGCACTCAGACAGACCTTGTTGAGGTCTGATTCTGCCATCACCCGCTGTGTGACCTTGGACAAGTGACTTAACCTCTCTGAGCCTCAGGTTTGTTGTTAGTGAAGTGGCAGGTAAAGCTTCAAAGAGGTAAAAGATTTAAAGCACCGAGCGAGCCTATCAGGGCGTACATGCAGAATAATCGCTGCTGTGACCATGCAGGCCACACAGTTGTGACATGAAGCCCAGAGTTCTACCCACAGAACCCTCTCAAAGCAGGACAGCTTGACTTCCCAGTAACTCAGTAATTCCACAGAGCAAGAGCTGAAAAAGTATTTTCTTTAAGCCTTTCCTAAAGTGGCCCAGAGAGGTGAAGCAATTTACCCAAAGTCACACAGCTCCTAATTGTCAAATGGTGAACTAGAGCCCAGGTCTCTGTCTCTTAATCCAGTGCTCCTGGAACTTCCCTGGGTTTTCACCCCCAGGGAAGTCTGACCATTTCCCCAGCCTGCGCTCCCTCTGGTGCCCCCTTTACACCCACATGGTGCTTTGTCACAGGCCTCTGTCATGCTGCCTGCCACTGTATATTTTGTGACATCTGTTTACTAACCTCCCTGCTGCCCCAGAGAGTGGGCTCCACAAAGGCAGAGGCCACCCCTGGTGTCTGACACTGTGCCCAGCAGCGTGCAGAGGCCACGCCCCAGTGCTGGATGGTGAGTGATGGTGAACCATCCCTCCAGGACCACAGGCTGCTCACTGTGGGTACCCACTGGCTGTGGGGCGAAGCCAGCCAGGACCACTCTGCTCACCAACTGGACGGTCTTTGGGCCCAGAAAGAACTGATCCTTCCAGGGAGCATGGAGCCTTGGAGAAAACAGCCAGGGCCGGTGGAGCGCACTGAGGGCAGGCTGCAGCCACAGGCTGCTTGGTGGCTCACGTCTGGGGATGTCCATGGGGCTGGGGTAGAGGCGGGGCAGGGCTATGCTCTATTTCTTGAATTCTAGCTTATTTGCAGTTTCAAACATTGGCACCTGTTTATAAGGCTAGTCCAGCTCACACAGAGCACAAGTTTCTTTCAGACACATCCCCAGTGTGCTCATCTGTTTTTGTTTGTTTTTTGTGTCGCCAAGGTTGGAGTGCAGAGGTGTGATCACGGTTCACTGCAGCCTCCATCTCTTGGACTCAAGTGTTCCTCTCACCTAGCCTCCTGAGTAGCTGGGCACGCATCACTGCACCAGGCTAATTTGTTTTTTTGGGTAGAGACAGGGTTTTGCAATGTTGCCCAAGCTGGTCTCAAACTCCTGGGCTCAAGCAATCCTCCTGCCTCAGCCTCCCAAAGCCTGAGATTACAGGTGTGAGCCACCACGCCTGGCCTCCAACGTGATGTTTGTGCCCTTCTCCAGCTGATAAGCATGCCCTGTAGACATATATTGTGTCTGTCTGCCTCTGTTCCTCTCTCTCCTCTTTCACCTGCCTTCTCTCTGTAGGTCTCATCCCTCATTCAGTAATTCAGAGAATGTGCCTCATGGAGAAATAGCACATTCTTAACCCCGGTGGTCTTGATGCCTGGCTAAAGCCACTGGGATTCTGCAGCTACGGTGGGACTCGTCTGTCTGGCTTCCCACAGCTCAGATCCACGGGTGAGTCCATCAGGGCCAAGTGCATCTGTGTCGGAGGGCGGAAACTCTGCAAGAGCCTAGGCAGGGGTCTGAAGCCTCAGTATGTTCTCATATAAACACAGGATTAGAAACAAATTCGAGATATAGTTAGATAGTTATTCCTACAAAATATAATCATAACCACATGGCTATTCATATGTAATCATAAATATATATGTATACACATAATCATATAATCTTTAATTTTACTAATAAGTCTCAGGTCAGGAAGTATGGAACTGAAGTGGCATTGGGAAAGAGATGACCCGAAGGCAAGATGCTCTAAGGCCTCTGTCACGCCTGCAGAAGGGCTGCCGGAGGACGCCTTGGCTGTGTGAAAGCGCCTGCTGTTGAGCCAGCTAGGGAAGGAGACATCCAAGATAACCAAGTCGTCTCCCTCTGGAGAATTAGGAGAAAACTCTGCTCTTCCAAGCTCCTGTGGTCAGCCTGACGCTGTCAGGGAGACCCACAGACATCCGGGGGCTTAATTCTCTATGTGGTTCTGCGGTTCAGTGGTCAGATTCCATGTCTGCATTCAAGTTCTGCTTCTGCACCTGGTTCCTCTTTTTCATAGAAGATGAGAATTCGTAACTTAAATCTTAGTGACCTTGCTATTTCTTGACAAGTATGAAAAAAGTGCGGACACCTTGGGTTTTCTCCTCGCCTTGGCTTCCTCAAAGTCTTGGACCCCTGTCTCTGAGACACGTGATTGACCTGACCCTATCACTGGCCACGATGACCCCATTCTACCTACCCTTCCCCCTGCTGTGTACTCAATAAAAGTCAGAGTGTCCAGGCACTCGGGGCCACTGCTGGACTCCGTACTTTGGTTGGCAGTGGACCCCTGGGCCCAAACTGTTTTTCTTGGTGTCTTGTGTCTTTTATTTCCACAGTTTCTTGTCTCCACACCTGTAGAGAGGGACTCACGGGCCCCTGTAGGGCTGGACCCGACTCATCTGGTAGAGACTAATGCTGTTTTCCTCACATCCACAGTTCTGAGTTCCTGTTCATTCAGCCAAGAGAACATGCGCCCCCCCATAAAAAGGTACTGAACGTCTCATCTTGCACCATACCTGCAGCTTTGTAACCGGGTACCTCCTCCTCCCCGTGCCTCAGTTTCCCCACCTGCAGAGTCGAGATAATACTGATACCTGCCCCTCTGGGTTGTGCTGAGGTTTAAGTGTAAATACTCCTGGGACCTAGGACATAGCAAGCACTCAAGAAAATTCATGTTTATAAATATTATTACTAATCCTTTAAAAATATTAGTCTCTTTTAAATATCTCTTATCTCTGTCTCCAGCAGGAGGTGTACCCTTGAAGGAGGTACTCCTCTTTCTGCTGAGGCTCCACAGTTGTAGTTAAAGTAAACTCCATGCCCCACCAACAGGCATGAAGTGCTTTTGCATTTTGTGGCTGGATGCCTGGCAGCGCGGCTTCCCCGACCTTGCGGCAGCTCTGTTTTCACTGATGTCGGCTTCTCAAGGGTCCCTGGGACCCAGTGCACACAGAGGCCGTGACTCCCAGTTCCTGCCCCCATGAACAGGAGGGAATGCGAACATCTCCACCTACCATGTGCTTTTCCTGCCTCAGTGCTGTGTCCAAATGCAGCAAGTCTTTTAAGTGAAGGCTGTAGATACACAGGTCAATGTCTACACTGCAAAATAAAATGAGAATCAGAAAAGACTTTCAGTATATTGGAAATGAAAAGCGTGGATATTGGCACGCTCCTAATCGGTATAAGCCACAGCACACCCTGCCTCAGACTCTCATTCTAAGCATGCTGAGGTCCTTACACTCGCTCCAGGCTTATAAGAAGGGATCGAATGAGCTGTTTGAAACCCACCAAGGGCCAGAAGAGAACAGCTGGTGTCAGAGACACAGCTGCCCGGGACCCCCAAGAGAAAACCAGTGGAAGGAGGGAAGGGAGAGAAATAAAAATGCTGTTTCCTCCTTTGAGTATTTTCTTTAAAAAATTATTTATTTTTTAGAAACAGGGTTTTGCTCCGTCTCCCAGGCTGGAGTACAGTGGCACAATCACAGCTCACTGCAGCCTCCACCTCCCGGGCTCAAGTGATCCTCCCACCTCAGCCTCCTGAGTAACTGGGACTACCAGGCATGCGCCACCATACCCAGTTGAGTTTTGTATTTTATTTTAGAGATGGGGTCTCCCTATGCTACCTAGGCTGGTCTTGAACTCCTGAGCTCAAGCATCTACCCACCTTGGATACCAAACGTTGGGATTATAGGCATGAGCCACGATGCCCCACCTCAAGCATTTTCGTATCTATCATCACACACATCATCTTCCCTCGGTGCCTTAGCGGACACATTCTGACGCCCATTTTACAGATGCAGAAACTGACTCAGGAAGAGAGGATCAGAGAAATCGAGTGATCATCATAGGGTCCATGGGGACAGACACACAGCAGATGTAGAAGTCTTTGAGCCTTTTTCCCTCATAGGCAAATACATTTCACATCATGACACTCCCACCCAAACTGTTTCAAATCCTCTAAGTCCGAATGCTGAAAGAAAGCTGTTCTAAGCCAGGGCTGGCCAATCCAAGAAGGCCCCTCTTCAATGAAGTCCCTTCTGCCTGGGTCACATTCAGGCTCAAGGAGCTGAGCCCAGTCCTTCTGCCAGCCCCGAGTAGAGGCTGTGTGCTGGATCATCCCATCCCTCGGGCTCATGTAATTTCAGAGCGGAGAGAGGCCTGGGGCCTGGTGTGTGAACCTGCCAGACTGAGTTTCTCAAGCCTCTAGGTGCTGAACCCTGCTCTGGGCTGGGTCAAACCCAGCCCTGTCACTCACCGCTGTGTGACCAGCAAGTCACGTAGCCTCTCTGGGTTTCCCTTTATTCTTCGTGAACTGGGGGAACTGACAGTCCCAACCTCATAGGTATGTTAACGGGAATTCATTCCTTCATTGATTAATACTTACAGATTGCTCAACCTGTCCCAGGCTCCCTCCTACTGGGCAAAATCCTCATGAGATCATTAATCTCCATGCTTAGCACTCTGTCCAGTACTCAGAAGTACCCACTTAATCAACTTCACTGGCTGGGATGGCATGCATGGGGCATGCCAGTGATTAAATGAGGCCGCCTTGTCGTCTCTCCCCAGGGCTCAGGCCTGACTCCATAAGCCCAGTGTTGGTCAACACAGCACACAAGTGACAAATTCATCTGGAACTCTGACTGTGACACTGGGTGGCTGTGTGTATCTGGCAGAGTCACTGAACCTCTCTGGGCCTCCGATTCCTCCTCTGACAATGATGTGACCCTCCTGGCCAACGCCAAGAGGACCGGAAGCCTCATCCTCCATTGTCCCTCTCCTTACCTCTCGCTGGCCAGCACCTCGGGGAAGGCGTTCACCCGGAGGAAGGTGCGGCTCAGAAACCTGTCATCGCTGGCGGCCGAGTGGATGCTGGATGAGGAGCTGTAGTCGTCCTTCTCGGCCTGGCTCAGGCTCCCCAGGCTGCTGGAAGGGGAGGCCTCTGCTGGCTGGTGCGGCAAGACAGCCTGCTTTAAGTTTTCGTGCAGAGACGGGTTGGAGGAGCCATCTGCCAGAGGCTGCGGTGGCCGTAGGAAAGTCACACTCAGTCCACGTGATGCCTCAGGGATTTGATCCAGTATTAACAATTCTACCAGATGCACTCTAGATGCTCACAGGAAGCCTGGTTGGAGGAGACTGGCCGGGGTGCCAGCAGACAGACACCACAGGGCTTCTGTCCCGGCTTCTGCCACATCACATCCCAGAGGCCCAAGTCACAGTTCACTTGTCCTCATGAGGCCAGCCCCTCTGCACCAGGCTCCTTCCCCTAAGCTGCCAACCTGGATCTGTGCCCCCCGGATACCCAGCTGCACCCTCCTCCCAGCTGGCACCTCGGACCGGGTCCACAGCCACCGCTTGCCCTGACCCAGTTCACTCGCCGCTGTCTGACCCCGGCCTGCTCCCTCCACAAATCCTGCCGAGTACCTGTCCTTCACCTGCACAGAGCAGGTGCCACCGTCCCACCCCCTGCCCACCGACAGGCTCCACGCTCCTCACCAAGAAGCTGGAGCACCATGCGCACCAGGCCACAGGAGGGCCCAGCAAATGTCAGCCTCCACCTCTGGCTGCCCAAGCTGCACTGAGGTGGCTCTGTCTCAGACACTCCTGGTCGCTTCATCATTCTGGGCCTTTCCCGACTTTGGTCCCCCTCTCTGAATCACCCCCCTAATATGTTGTTTGCTGGGTGGAAGTGTCCCTCCCTCCAGGCATGGATCCCGACCCCATAATGGCTCCGCAGTTCCTGGCACCTGCCTCTTGCCTATTTCAACAAGTGCCGTCCTGCAATCTCAGTGTATTCTGGTCCTCCCAGGCAGTGAGGTCCTCCAGGGTGGGGCTGATGCCCTCCTGACCATGGCATGATCCCCAGGACCCACGCAGGGCCTACCCAGAGGATGGGGAAGTGCCCTTCATCCACCCACCGTCCCACCCTTCCACAATGTGAAGGACGTGGTTCCCACTGTGGGCTCTGGGGAACAGTTCCATGAGCCAGTTACTCCTCACCACAAAGGTTCCACAGAAAAATCAGTTGGGGAAAGCCTGTGTTAAACAAGGTGAAATGTTTTTTGGAGCAGGAATTCTCAGAACCTTCAGTATGCTTTGACTGTCTTCAGAAGCAAGTAATAATTTAGAAATGCTAACATGTTCTGAGTGTGCAGAGGGTGTGCACTGTCTGAGCCCTTATTATGTTACCCTGTGTAGCACCAAAACAACGGCACGAGGCAGGAGCACCAGCAGCCCCATTTCACAGATAACGAGACTGAGGCACGGAGAAGTCAGGAAATGCAGCACGGAATAGCTGAGATGGGGTTAGGACTGAATTACTGGGACTCCAGAGCTCGTCATCCTGATCACCAGAAAGCAAGCCGCACTTTCTCGAACTTATTTCGCTAAGAAACCTTTTTGCACAAAGCACCTCCCAGGCTCCTGGAAGGTGTAACTGTAGCCAGGTGTTGGGGTTTGATTCTGGTTCTGCCACTTCCTGTCACATGACCTCAGGTCACTAGCCTCTCTGGGCCTCAGTTGCCTTACGTGTTAAGTGGAGACAATATTATCTACCTGATAGACATAACACCAAGTTGAATTGCCTAATGCATGGCAAACAGTTAGCACGACACTGGCCCTGTGCACATAAGTGTTCAGTAGGTGCTGGCATTAGTCCAGGGCTCTGTGAATGAGGATTAGCACTGGGAACTGAGTCAGTATCTGTGTTTGTATTAGTGTTAAAAAGGCAGAGAGGAAGCTGTCCTACTGTGCTGTCACCTCATGTCCCCAGGAGTACAAGGAGCCATGGAACTTCCTTACTGTGGTTATCGTGGGCATGTCCTGCTCCCGATAACACTGTCATAAGACAGATTAACCCTAAGTTTTGCTCCATTACAAAGCCTCAAAACTACCCCTATTAAAATGGCTTGCCATAAAACCCTCAAACAGGACCAAACATCACACAGTCAATCCCCCTACTTTCCTCCCAGTCACTGGTACATGACAGAAGTAACTGCATTTCTATGATGGAGCTCAGGACACTCACCCGGAACTTCTGATTGATGGGGTAGATGACTTTTGCCTTCAGGGCGAATGCTGTGACGTTGCTGTTGGCAGATGGCTCACATTCCTGGGAGGGAAAGACACAAAAGGCATGGGAAACTTTCTGTAAAATGAAGGATAAGTTGTCGAGTTTTTCCAATATGCCACATCCCATTTGTAATAGTAGCTTCAGAAAGGGACCATAATAGGCACATTTAGATTCATATAAGCTCTTCCTTGCCAGAAGGAAAATGAGTGGATGGGTCGACAAACAGATGGATGGATAGATGGATGGGTGGGTAAATGAATGGATGAGTGGGCAGATGGATAGATGGGTGGATGGATGGATGAGTAGACAGATGAGTGGATGGATGGATGGGTAGACAGATGGATAGATGGGTGGATGGACAGATGGGAAGACAGATGGATAGATGAGTGAAGGAATGGATGGGTGGGCAGATGGATAGATGGGTGGATGGATGGATGGGTAGATGGATGGATGGATGGATGGATGGATGGATGGATGGATGGCTGAATGGATGGATGAATAGATAGACAGATGGATAGATGAGTGGGTGGATGGATGGGTAGATGGATAGATGGATGGATAGATGAATAGGCAGACAGATAAGTGGATGAATGAATAGGTAGTCAGATAGATAGATGGGTGAGTTGATAGATAGATGGGTATATGAATAGATAGGTGGGTGGGTGGATGGACAGCCAGATGGATGGGTGAATGAAAAGGTGGAGAGATGGATGAGTAGATGAAAAAATAGATGGGTATATGGACAGACGGATGAACAGACAGAGGAGGCTATCAAAAGAGAATGGCACAATGTTCATTTAATCAAAATGCTTCAGTTTTGGGGAAAAAAAAAAAGGATTTGAATAACTTGAGAATAATTGACAAGAGAGTCTCCTAAAGAATTAGGAAAAGCAAACACACAAAATACTTTTAGCACTGCCACAGGTGTAAGCACATGCAGTAATATTCATACGAGATCTTGGATTAGACCCTTCAACAAAAGTAAGTTGTTGGGCAAGTCTTCTAACTTCTCTGAATCTTAGTCTTCCCAGATAGCAAATCAGCAGAGGATCTGCCCTCAAGGACCACATACATAACGCACCCTGCTGAGTTGTTAGAATAGAGAAGAAACCAATCAGTGGGCCGCTGTGCGTAGCGGTATAACACACCACTGTCAAATCCTACTCTGGAATCACCTCCCCTGACTCAATAAAAAGTTAGATGGGCTGAGCGCAGTGGCTCATGCCTGTAATCCCAGCACTTTGGGAGGCCGAGGTGGGTGGATCACGAGGTCAAGAGATCGTGGCCATCCTGGCCAACACGGTGAAACTCCATCTCTACTAAAAATACAAAAATGAGCAGGGCGTGGTGGCACATGCCTATAGTCCCAGCTATTCAGGAGGCTGAGGCAGGAGAATCACTTAAACCTGGAAGGCAGAGGTTGCAATGAGCCGAGATCCCCCAACTGCACTCCAGCCCAGGTGACAGAGCAACAGTGTCTCAAAAAGTAAAAAATAGAGAAGCTGGATGAACTTATCCATGGCCTTCCCCATATCCCTGAATCCCCTCCACCTCTCTCCTGTTGCGTCATCCCCACCCCACCACTGCACTTTGCAAAGTCAGTGCCGAATCAATGCTTTGGACACAACCAGATAGTGAATGAAGATAAGCAGACAGGCAAGCCCAGAGCCTGGCGCTGCAGACCATGAAAAATCTCTTCTGAGCAATTCTGAGCACACTGATGGGTAAAACGACATCTGCATCTATTCCAATGCTTCTCAACCACGTCTTGAAGAACAAGCTCCATCACCATGACCAACTTCCTATCACAAAGTTCACCTTGGAATAAGAGCCTATTGTGGGCAACACAGAAGGATGGATCACTTGCTCCTAATTTGGGGTGATGACACAGCCCCCACTGAGCCAGCACTGTGGCCTAGGGATGGGGGGAGGAAGAGGATAAGGAAGAATAGCTAGTGCATGCCGGGCTTAATACTTAGGTGATGGTTTGATCTGTGCAGCAAACCACCATGGCACACATTTACCTACGTAACAAACTGGCACATCCTGCACACGTACCCTGCAGCTTAAAATAATGTCTCCAAGGAGAGCTGCACCTTGACGCCCTGTGAGCAGCATGGGAGGGAAGCTGCACACCAGGGGCTCCGGTTCTTGTCATTTCTCTACCTTACAACTCACAAAAGACTTGGGTGACAAGAATCAGGAAGACCCTTCCTCATACCTTATACAAAATTAACTCAAGATGGATTAAAGACTTAAATGTAAAACCCAAAACTATAAAACCCCAGAAGAAAATCTGGGCAATATTATTCAGGACACAGGAACAGGCAAAGATTTCACAACAAAAATGCTAAAAGCAATCGCAACAACAGCAAAAATTGACAAATGAGATCTGATTAAAGAGCTTCTGCACCGCAAAAGAAACTATCGTCAGAGTGAACAGACAACCTGCAGAAGGGGAGGACATTTTTTCAATCTCTCCATCTGAACAGGGTCTCATATCCAGAGTCTACAAGGAACTGAAACAAATTTACAAGTTAAAACAACCCCATTAAAAAGTGGGCAAAGGACATGAACAGACACTTCCCAAAAGAAGGCATTCATGCGGCCAATAAACATACGAAAAAAAGCTCAACATTACAGATAATTAGAGAAATGCAAATCAAAACCACAATGAGATACCATCTCATGCCAGTCAGAATGACGATTATTAAAAAGTAAAGAAACATGCCGGGCGCGGTGGCTCACGCCTGTAATCCCAGCACTTTGGGAGGCTGAGGCGGGTGGATCACGAGGTCAAGAGATTGAGACCATCCTGGTCAACATGGTGAAACCCCATGTCTACTAAAAATACAAAAAATTAGCTGGGCATGGTGGCACCTGCCTGTAATCCCAGCTACTCAGGAGGCTGAGGCAGGAGAATTGCCTGAACCCAGGAGGCGGAGGTTGCGGTGAGCCGAGATCGCGCCATTGCACTCCAGCCTGGGTAACAAGAGCAAAACTCCATCTCAAAAAAAAAAAAAAAAGTAAAGAAACAAAAGATCCTGGTGAGGCTGTGGAGAAAAAGGAAAACTTTTACTTTTACTTTTGGTGGGAACGTAAATTAGTTCAACCATTGTGGAAGACAGTGTAAGTGATTCCTCAAAGACCTAGAAGCAGAAATGTCAGTTGACCCAGCAATCTCATTACTGGATATATATGCATGTGTATGTTCATTGCAACACTATTCACAATAGCAAAGACATGGAATGAACCCAAATACCCATCCATGATAGACAGGATAAAGAAAATGTGGTACATATACCCCATGGAATACTGTGCAGCCATAAAAAGAAACAAGATCATGTCATTTTCAGGAGCATAGATGGAGCTGGAAGCCATTATCCTCAGCAAACTGACACAGGAACAGAAAATCAAACACGGCATCTTCTCACTCATAAGTAGGAGCTGACCGATGAAAACACGTGGACACATTGGGCGGGGGTAGCAACATGTACTGCGGCCTCTTTGGGGGCAGGGGCAGGGAGAGGATCCGGAATAAGAGCTAGTGCATGCTGGGCTCAATGCCTAAGTAATGGGTTTATCTGTCCAGCAAACCACCACACGTTTACCTATGTAACAAACCTGCATATCCTGCACATGTATCCCACAACTTAAAATAAAAGTTGAAGAAAAATAAACAAAAAGTTCTCATTAAAAAAAAAAAAAATAGTGGAAGACCACCAACACGTGCTACCTCCCTAAACTTCGAGGACCCTGCCACAGAGATCACCGTCTCCACTTCCAGACAGAGAAAGTGAGTCGCAGAGAGGTAACGCCACGTGCCTAAGGCCACACAGCCAATCATCACAGGAACCGGGATCTGAACTCAAGCTTTGCTGGCTCCAGGTCTGCCCTCTAGCCGATGCCATGCTGGCTCTGTCAACGTGACGCAAATAAGAGCAGGACTAAGTGCCATGGAGCTTAAAGGGAAGTGGGGGTTCGGAGAGAAGGCCCCAGGATTGGCTTCACCGTGCTCAGGAACCTACAGCAGATACGGAGGTACCGTGCACTCTGACATCCCACGTCCCCACATCCAACTGACCACGAATCCCATCAACTTAACCTCCCAAATCTCTCTGGAATCCATGGCCCTGGCCTAGGCCTCCATCGTATTTACCCTGAAGGGCTGCAGTCACTTCCTAAGCAGCTTCTCATCCATGTACTGAGAGGGTCTACCATGTCCAGCCACCTATGCATGCTTGCCCATTTAATTACCACACATCCGTCAGCTTGGGGAGGTGGGGACTATTATTATCATGCCTACTTTATGGTCGGGCAAACTGAGGCTCAGAGGTTAACATCTTCCAATTCATTCTCCACATAGAAATAGAATTATCTTTTAAACATAAATTTCCATCAATGTGCCTTTTGAAACCCTTCCTGGCCTCCCTCTGACCTGAGGGTACAGAGCCTGGTCTGCTCTCAATCCCCTGCATTCTGGCCCACTTTCCACTTGAAATTTTGTCAGTGAACAAGGAATGCTTCATGCCTATAATCCCAGCACTTTGGGAGGCCAGGGCAGGAGGATCACAAGGTCAGGAGTTCAAGACCAGCCTGGCCAACAAGGTGAAACTCCATCTCTACTTAAAAAAAAAAAAAAAATTAGCCAGGCATGGTGGCATGTGCCTGTAATTCCAGCTACTTGGGAGGCTGAGGAAGGAGAATCGCTTGAACCCAAGAGGTAGAGGTTGCCGTGAGCTGAGATCAGAAACATAAAAAAGAAGGAGGAGGAGGAGAAAGAAGAAAGAAAAAAGAAGAGAGAAGAAAAGAAAGAAGAAGAAGAAAAGGATGTTGGTACAGGGCCCACCAGAGACCTGTGAGGGCAGAACCTGGGGATGGAGGAGCCGGGGAATGGGCATCAGGAACACAGCCCAGCTGGCAGGAAGCCTCAACCTGATCCACCTACCTACAGACTGCAACCCTTGCAGGGCCAGCCCACGGATGGTCATGGTCTTTGCCAGGGCATAAAGGACCAGGAACATGTGACACCTGAAACC